GATTGTGGATCCAATTAACATGAATTCTTTTAAGCTTCAATCTTTTCTCCATTTATCATAATGCTGGCGATTGGTCCCGTTGTGAGGATTTTGTTTGGCTTTACGCTGGATTGCAATACGTACTGAAGGCTGCAGTCTTTGATCTGCATCAATAAATACTTCGAGTCCTCTTGACTTTCAGGAGAGCAAGATTGTGTCATCTGCATATCACAGGTTGTTGATGTTAATGTTAGTATTCTTCTAATCCTATTTGCCATGTTCATGATATAGTCCAGCTTCTCTGTTTAGTTCCTTAGCATACAGATTAAATAAATATGATCGAAGAATACAACCCTAATGCACACCTTTCCTGATCTTAAGCCCTGCAGCGTCCCACTTGTTCCATTAAAACAATTGTCTTCTGGTCTATGTACAGGTGCTTCATGAGCACAGTTAGGATTTCTGGTATTCCCTTTCTTTGCAATGTTATCCATAGCTTGCTATGATCCACACAGTTGAATGATTTTGCGTACTCAATAAAACACAAGTAAAAGTCTAGCTGATCTAGCCAGATTTGTAAAGTAGAATTGGGGTCATGACAGTGGGGGCGGGGGGTGGGGGTGGGGATTTAGGAACTAGAGGAAAGTTGTATGTTTCCTCATTGCTACACTGCTCCCTGACTGGCTCATCACCTCCCCGCAACCCCTCCGTAAGGGCACATGACTCCAAGTCTTGACACATTCATTATAATGCTTCACTGTGTCTTCTTTAGCTACTCTTTGCAGTTTTCTATTCAATGCCTTTATTTCATCATTTTCCATCAGCTTTAGCCACTCAACATTCAAGACTAAGTTTCAGAGTCTCATCTGACATCCACATTGGTCTTTTCTTCCTCTCCTGTCTTTTTAGTGAGCTTTTGGTTTCTTCGTGTATGATATTCTTGATGTCCTCCCACAGCTCATCTGATTGTCTGTCGATCGTGTTCCATGCATCAACTCTGCTCTAGAGAGGGTCTCGAAAGTCAGATTGTATTGGCTCCAGGTCTTCTTTTGGCTATCTTGGGCTCATTTTCCTTTTCTTCAGCTTCAACCTGGATTTGCATATGAAAAATGATTGCCTGTTACACAGTTGGCTCCTGGGCTTCTTTTGGCTGATGATATTGAGCTTCTCATTGTCTCTGCCTGCATATGCAGCCAGTTTGATTCCTGTGTATTCCATCTGGCAAAGTCCACATGAATAATTGTTGTTTATGTTGTTGGAAGAAAGCATTGCAATAAAAATGTCCATTGTTCTTACAAAATTCTTTCATACGCTCTCTGGCTTTGTCACCAAAGGCATATTTTCAAACTCCTCCTTCTCCTTTGTTTATAACGTTTTCAATCAATGCACCTTGATTGCTTGTTTGAGGAATTTCACACTAAAGAAGTTAGTGGGATTCTTTGATTTCTTCATCGTTGGCTTTAGTTGGTGAGTAAATTCGAAGAGTTGCATTTAGTCTTCCTTTTGAGCATGTAGATATAATCCTATTACGGATGGAATTGCACATCAAGATGGATCTTGAAATGTTCTTTCTAATGATGAAGACACTATTCCTCTTGAGTCTGTCATTCTCAGCATCGTACACCATATGATGTTCTGATTCGGAATGGCCAGTACCAGGCCATTCTAGCTCACCAGTGCCTAGGATATGGATCCTTATGCATTCAATGGCATTTTGGTGAAGAATAAGAGAAAAAACCTTCTTAGAAGCACTAAATACCACTTGAGTTTGGTGGTAATTAATTTAGATCATACCCTGCGTAGTGTACATAATCTAGCCACATCTATCTGTGCGCACAGGAGCAAAGCGGTTCAGAAGTGACCTCAACTGAGTGGGCTTTATCCATTGAGGACAATGAAAAACAAAAGAGCAAGACGGCTGAGGATGTGTGCGGGGATGATGCAATGAGTGACGTGGGAGTGAAGCTCCATCAGGAGAGAGGGGGATGAAAACCAGTGAATAGGCAGTGTGGTCGATGTCTTGTAACACTGGTGGAATCAAAGAGTGATTGGAATAGTATCCCAGAGAATGGAGCTACACACAAAGGAGGTGGTTCTCAAAGAGAAACGTGAGTTTGGGGTTATGGACGAGCTTCAGTTATTGGAAATGATGAAATTATTATGAAATTAAGGGATAGCAGTCAGTGGAAGAGAATTACTCAAGGCAAGGAGCGGGAAGGATAGAGGGAGTGTCACTTTACTGGACATTTAAACCACCAAAAATAGCCACAGCAGCAATGTTGACAACAGTGACAATGAACCAGGCACTGAAGCCTTCAAGGAACATGGAAGACAGACCCAAAGATCAGTAAGTGACTACAGTGAACCCTCGTTTATCACGGTTAATCGGTTCTAGACCCTACCGTGATAAATGAAATTCCACGAAGTAGGATTCCTTATTTGTAAATCAAATATTTTCGTAGTTAGAGCATAGAGGACATGAAAAAACACCCTTTAGTCACCATTACCCTCGTATTACCCAATTTATTAAACGAAAAAGGGAAAATACAGTAAAAAATTTTGGACGTTACAATTATCATTTATTATATTATTTATGGCATCAAGCGTGTACAGTATGAGCCGATCAGTGGCAGTAATGACAGAGCATGCGCTGTTACGCAAAAACCGCGATAGAGTGAAGCCGCGGAAGTCGAAGCGCGAAGTGGCGAGGTTTCACTGTATGATGAGGAGAGAGGTGGAGATGGCCTTCAGCAAATCTCCGAGTCTCTGTTTCCCTATCCATCAGTTACAAAAGTAACAGCTCCTCCATCAAGGACTTTTTGTAGGGACTGAGTGAGCGGATGCAGTCAAAGCACACGTCTGGTTATCATGCTGATGGGAACTGCCAGCTCTCAATGGATTGAAACCTATTTTTTTATGAGCCCCAATAAATTGATTTTTTTTAAAAAAGAAACCTATTTTTTAAGCGCAATTGTTGTGTCTTGGGCGCATGTCTCTACCTGCAAAGCCTGAGAGGTTCACTACCGACTGGGCTGGCCCAGTCAATAACAGTGCCTACAATTCCCTGGAGCTGCTCACTCATGGCACTCTCCGTTAAGCATCCACAGCCACAGCCATATCCAGAATTTTTGGAAAATCCTTCTTCTACCTAGATTGTATACAAAATTGAAGGGCAATCATTTGCCTCTCAAAACATTTTCTTAATCCTTTTTCTTTTCCAAGCAAACACATACTTATTTACCCTTTTCTCTAACGTAAAGTGGCATTTTGATGCAGCAGCCTAGGAAGAAGACAAGTATCACTAATTTAGAGAAATGGCTGAGTTTTTGCCGCTTGCCAGACTCCCACTGATCTGCTGAAGAATCCAGAAAAACGGCTTGCCTTTGTGCCAACTACTGTTTCCCCCTCTGAAGGCTATCACCATTGATCCACATTGAAAGTGACTGGTGGCTTCTGTGAAGTTTCTTACAGATTTAGTTCAACAAGGAAAGCAGCAAGAAAATCTCTAGGAGAAAATAGTCTTGGGGAGTAGTGGTAGGTAGGTGATAAGCAACGTTCTTTAAAGGGGAGACCGATTACAAAGATCTACATATAACCTCCTCCCTGGGGGACAGGCAACAGAAAAGTGGGTGGAGGGAGACGTAGGACAATATAAGATATGACAAAATAATAATTTACAAATAATCAAGGGTTCATGAGGGAGGGGAAAAATGAACTGATGCCAGGGGCTTAAGTGGAGAGCAAATGTTTTGAGAATGATGAGGGCTATGAGTATACAAATGTGCTTTACACAATAGATGTATGTATTGATTGTGATAAGAGTTGTATGAGCCCCTAATAAAATGATTAAAAAAAAAAAGAAACGTTCTTTAGTCCAACATTTTAGATCCTTATCAGTAATTTAAGCAGGATGTTTAGAGAGAGATGTTGGCATGTCATTAAAAAGGAAGTCAAACCTCTTAAAGATAATTCAGAAAGACTGTACATTATACATATACACATACACACACATATACACATACACACATGCATGCATATATAAAGACTGTATACATTTACATATACACATACATATACACATACATACATACACACATACAAAACATATACATATACACATACACATACATACATATACACATACACACATACAAATACATGTACACATACACATACATATACACATACATAGACA